CTGGATACTCACTCCAGTCCCTCCTCTCACCTCACACATTTGGGCCTAGGAAAGGGCAGACAAACTTACCAGGTGTCAGGGACATGGTAGGAGATAAGGCTGAGAAGGCCTCCAAGGTTTGGGATCCTGTGTTCTCAACTTAGAAATTTATTTTGAAAGAAGTGAATATAGTTAGAGATAGAATTAGACCTGGCCACTGATCACTGCCTGAGGAAGGAAGCTGTAGGTCAAAGGGGAGAAAGTGTTGTCAGACAGCCAGGGTAGTGGCCCAGGTAGGAGGCTTGGCCAAGTGACTGCAGCAGAGCCTCAGGGCACCTCAGACAGAGTTTTGGGGATTGACATTGACACGGAGACCAGAAAACAGGTGTGGAGTTTGACCCCAGTTCCTGTGTAGTGAGGAGATCACAAGTCCACTTTGTATCAGCATAAGGTTTGCAGAGGTGCCTGGCCTGCTCTGGAAGCTCCATTTCTTAAGTATCAATCAAAATGTATTGTATGAAAGAATTTAAATAAAAATGGGGGGTGAGCACTTTGCACAAATGATGGTGAAAGCAAATGCTCTTGCCCTTCGTTCTTCAGCTCAGCAGGGAGCGGCTTGTTTTGCTGTTTCTGACCAGGTGCTGCCCCAGGAACCCTCCTTGGAGCCCTGGGGACCTTGGAGCCTGCATGCAGATAAGCCATGCATGGGCTGATGAGGGGTGAGCCTGTGCCTGCCAGCAGGTGGCTGAGACAACAGAACTGGATATCTTGAATGGAGATCTGGGCTGTTACCACCCAGTCATTCCTGCCTGGCCAGGCCACCTGGTCTTCTGGGCCTGTGACCTTCCTCACAAGGACACCATCTTCTGTGCTGGGACAGCTGAGTAGGAAATGCCAAATTACTTTATGTTTAGCACTCGGTGTCAAGTGGTTGTTGTCCCTGAGGGTTAAGGTCACATGAACACTGCTGCCTGAGGGGCCCGCTTGCTGTTTCTTCCCAAAAGGGGTGCTTAGTTCTCAGATCTGGAATCCTTGGATTTTGACAGTCCAAGCCAGCTGCTTTGTGTTGTTTAATTTATAATTGAGCTTCTGATTTTACGCCCATTATGTCATTAAAATTGGATCCACTTGCTGAAGGGCTGAAACATATTAATTAGAAATTTTAAGTAATTATGGGCTCATTAAAGCCTTTAAAGTTTAAAAATATTTAAAACAGCAGTATCATCGGAGGCCCTCTCCGCTGTGTGTGGATATGTGAGTGTGGGTGCAGAGACTAAAACAAAGCATGCTGATTCGTTCTTCTGAGGCTACAAACTGGCAGGTGTATGCTCAGGTGTAAGTTGGTACCGAGGTAAACACTGAGGACAGTCTGATTAGTGACAGAACATACCAGACTGACATGGTTTTGTCATCACGTGGGTATTAATAAGGTAGAAACCCCCACACACATACTTTCAGCCTAATATTTGGTAAATATTAAATACTATGAACATTCTTCAAAAAGAACTCAAGCCATTGAACTGGAATGCAAAAGCCATTGGTGCTGGGGAAGTCCAGGGCAGGTTGCTGAGTCTTCTGTCTTGAGTGCAGTCAGCTCACAGAGAGCCGGTGCTTCATTGCCGCCTATTTCCTATTTCCATCTGAGCAGATTTAGAGGGTGGGCGCTACAGCAAAGCTGACGAGCTGAGTCAGGAAGGTTCAAGTAACCAGCCTCTGTGCACATCAGGTTAAGTTTCTTAGGGCAGAAGAGCTAGGTCAGCAGTTGAAAGGGCTTGCTGTGTTTGCAGAGGAGCAGGCTTAGGCTCTCTGCAAACGCCCACATGGGCAGTTCAGGACGTTCTGTAACTTCAGTTACAGGGGATCTGACGCCCACTTCAGGCCTCCATGGGCGCATGGTGCATGTATGTACACATAGGCCATAAGAATCATGCATACACACAGAACATTTTTAAAAAATAAATATTTCAAAAAGAAAGGTTTATTCATAAAAATTTCAAATAAGACAGAGGCAGACGGATCTCTGTGAGTTCGAGGCCAGCCTGGTCTTCAAAGAGAGTTCCAGGACAGTCTCCAAACCGAGAGAGAAACCCTGTCTCAAAAAAAAAAAAGAAAAATTCAAGTAAGGCAAGATATGGTATTTGCCTGTAATCTTAGCACCAGAGAGGTAGAGGCAGGAGGATTGTTGAAAATTTGGGACCATCCTGGTCTGCATTGCAAGGTCTGGGGACAGCCATGGTATAGAGTAAAACTGTCTCAAAAACAAACTTCTACTACTAAGAATGCCTGAGAAAGTAACACTGTGGTGAGTGATGAAGTAAGCAGGCATGAGCTTTGCTCCAGGGTGCTGAGGCCATAGTGCGCTCCACCACAGCATGCCTTCTCTTTGCTTCAGGCCCATCAGATATGGTCACCCTGAGCCCATCAGTCTAGAGGGCAATGGGTTCAGCATCATTCAGAGTCTGGGTGTAGCTCAGGCCCAGAGCCCTGCCCTCTGCTAGCACTGAGATAGCCATGAGATAGATCCTACCTTCAAGTAGACAGCACAGTGAAGGATTAGGCCATTGAGACCTTGTACCAGATTTTAGCTGAGGGGTCCCCAAGAAGTAAAGAGAAGGAGAAAGCAATAAATTAATAATGGGTATGTTCTTAAGAATTAAATATGATAATCTCAGCACTGGGGAAGCAGAGGCAGGTGGATCCCTGTGAGTTTGAGTACAGCCTGGTCTACAGAGAGAGTTCTAGGACAGCCAGGACTACGCATAGAAATCCTGTCTTGAAAAACAATAACAAAACAGAGCACCAGAATAGGTGCAGGACAGAGTTCAATGTAGCTCTCCTGCTGCCCTCCGATTCTGAGGTGGTTGCTGATGGTACACACTGTGGATGTGTGTTACGATGTCAGTAACCAAGAAAAGAAAGATGAGGACTTTGACAATATATTTTACAGATGGTCAATCAATCTTCTGTCTTCTAAAATGTTGTTCTGTTTTCTTTTAAAGACATCTGAAAACTTTGCTTTTAGAAAGAAATCCTATCAAAATGTTACCCCTTGAGCTAGGTAAGTACCACAATAAAGTGAAAGGTGGCTTTAAATGCTTTGAAGTTCTGGGGGCTCCTGATGGAGGGGTGAGGCATGATAGAGGGAGAGGAGGCAGCAAGATGCTCAAAGATGCTCTCCCCGTTTATGAGTTACTTTTCCAGTCACTGTGATAAGATGCTCTGACAAAAGCAGCTTAAGGAAGAAAAGGTTTGTTTGGGCTCAGAGCTCAAAGGTTCCCTGAGGGGAAGTGACAGTGGCAGGAGGTCACATGGCATCCCCAGGCAGGAGGCAGAAAGGGGCGAATGTTGGTGCCCAGCTCAATTTTCTCCCTTTTCTACAGCACAGGATCCCAGCCCTGGGAACAGTGCTTGCTACCCATGGTGGCTGGGGCTTTCTCCTTCATTTAACCTTATCACAATACTCCCACCCACCCCCCACACAGGTTTTTCCAGACAGCTGTCTCCAAGTTCCTTACAGAGCGCATGCCTATTCTAGGCAGAGGAGTTGTTAACACTGTTACATGTGTTGTCTGTGCCAAGGCCAGATGAGCTTTGCATATAGCATACAGCCTAAGAAAACTTGGTCATATCATGCTGCGTGCTGCCGGCATGTGACTTTGCTCTCCATGGGAGCCAGTCTTGAGTCCTAGCTGCTTGGGTTCAGTGACCTCCTTTGAACTTAATCTCAGTTCCTTGATTCTTTGGCTCACACGTGCTTCTAAGGCCCAAGTGGCTATGTGGGGCTATTCACTCCCTTGTGTGCCTTTTCTCTGCTGTAGATGAGGAGGACACAAATTTTCTCCTTACACATTGTTTTGTCTTGGTTTCTACTCTCTTATCTTTGTCTAAGTTTGATTTGCTTTTTTTTTTCCCAACTTTGTTGAGTTGGAAACTTGGATTTTGATTTCAGATTTCTCTTTTCCAACATACATTTGAACTGCACTTTGTCCTAAACACTGCCCTCACTGCGTCCTCATGTTGTGACTTGTCATTCAACGCAACATGTTTTCTGGTGCAATTTACCCATGGGCTATGCTAAAGTTATCCTCTTCACTGCTGTGACCAAATCCCTGACAACACAGCTTGAAGGTAGAAAGATTTGTTTTGGGTCACATCAAAGAAGGCATGACAGAGTTCACTGTGACAGAATATGCAGCTGGGACAGGTCAGGAGGCAGAAAGCAGGGGATGCTGGTGCTCATGGCTTTCTGTTTTTTGCCTTTTCAGTCAAGGACCCTGATCCATGGGGTGGTGCCACTCACATTCAGGCTCCCCTTCCCCTTGGTGAAACCTCTCTGGAGACACCCCACAGACACACCAGGGGTGTATCTCCTAGGTGACTCCAAATCATTCTGGTTAATTATAAAGAATAGCTGGCACAGCTTGGTACTTAGTTATACACTAGAGATGTTCAAGCTAGCTTTCTGTGGTATGTGGTACTTTGCCATTTAAAAGGCAGAGACTGTCAAGACAGATAAAAATGCAGAAGTCAACTTCATGCAACCCACTCACAGCTACTAAAAGGCAGGAAGTTTGAGCACCGGCAGCTGGAAGGGAAAGGAAGCAGCAGACATGAGGACAAGAGTGACTTCATGATAGTGCTTACCAAGTAAGATGCTCTCAGTAAGCAGGTGACAGTGTTTGGTGTCATTCTGTCACTAAAGCACTGTGTGTTTTAAAGAAGATGGACAGCCATCTTTGGCTTCCCTTGGTCTTTATTCTTTTTTTTTTTTAATTAGTTAGCTTGTTCCCTAACTCTCCCTCCCCTCTCCCTCCCCTCACTCCCAGCCCTCCTCCCCCACACCCAGCGCTTAGAGTGTAACCCTTCACGTGGGATGGGCTCTCAAAGTCCCTTCTTACAC